GACGTGTTCGACCGCGTTCCCGCGGCATTGGATGGCGAGAACAATAGCCCACCGGAACCATGGGACTTTGCGGCCAAATTTGCGGCATGCCCGTCGACCATTCTTTCCATGAACGTCCTCCCCTCCAACATTGGACCCAGATCCATTTTGCATCACAGCAAAGCAGAGTTATTCCTGCATGTACTGACGCAAATACAGGGTAGGGACACCAGCAAAGCCTCCGATGAAGCAATCTGCCTTGCGACGTTGCTGGATGTGGGAATGGAAGACGTGCTCAAAGAGGATACCTGTGAAAACAGGTGGACTGCCTTCTTGTCGGTTGTGGAGGACGTTCTTTCGGCACGGATCATTTTCACGACCCTACCCAGGATGAACCGAAAGGGATATCACTGGGCACCACGGTCGTTTCTGAACTATGTCGAGGGAACAGAGCTCGCAAGAATAGTCAACGTCGACAGCTTCGACCCAGAAAGCCATGAGCTCGACCGTGATTCGGACCTGGACGAGCCTCTTCCCACGCAACGTGTTCAAAGACCGGTCCGCATCAGTAAAGGCGGCCTCGTTGTCGAGTTCCCTGGGTTCACATTTCAATCACTCGCCAATGCTTTGTCCCCAGAGTTTTGTTTTACAGCGGAAAACGGCCATGCGACTTATTGGTGTATGACAGAGTATTCCCGACCCCATTTCGAAGCATACTTTGAAGGATCTGTAGTTCTGCCCGAACAGTCATGGGATGTCGTGAAGCCCGGACCGTCTTCGCGGTTGTCTCTCGTGCTCGAGGACCATTTCTCGGACGCTGCTGCGCCGGTCAGGGGAGCGCTGCTGACGGCTTGCAGTGAGGAGGGTAATGTGGTCCAAGGAACGTACCTGTGTCTTGTTCTCGTCGTCCGAACCACGAGCAGCTACCGGCCGCCGGACTTCGAACTGACCAAGGAGAAGTTGAATCAAGATGCTGAGCACGCCCAGTGGGATCTTGCCATTGACACCAAGTTGGGCAGGAGGGAGGAGCGAGAGTGGTGCATCGCGTAACTCTGTAAGATGATGAGCCCTTCAGCCCAATCCATATATTATACTTTCCTCTTCGCAAAAAAAGCCGTCACAGAAATAGTCGACATTGAGAAATCATATCACTTTGGCACCTCGCAGCCTCGTTTAGCTCGTGGTAGGCAAGAACAAGGCTACAAATGTTGGGTTGTTGATTGGTGACGTAGGACGGCGAGTAGTTTAGATAATCCTTGGCGTTGAGGTCACGTTTCTGGATGCGCAGCCAGTGAGTCTCGTGATGGAAGCTTGGAGCGTGCGACTTGTAATTTTATCTTCCACTCATCAAGGCATCCAACTATCCTGGATGGCTGGCACCCAGCACCGTCATAGCCATTCTCTCCCTCGTTGGTCGTTGTTTTTGCCAGACAACCAGTCATAAAAGCTCTGCATCGGAGGAGCCAGGATTGAACCACAGGCGTTATAATTCACCATCACGTCTATCTTCTGCGGTGTCTTGTCCCTCTCGCCAGCCAGCATGCCTGTTTTTCAATCGAAGCCCTTCCGTGCCAGCGGCAGCAGTGCGGCAGCTCGGGACCTCCCCTCGCGGATTGCAGCGTGGTATAATCGCAAGCAGGAACGAAATCCGTTTCTGTACTTTGGTCTGCCTTTCATCTCCATCGTGGTCGCGGCCTCATTCCTCCTCACCCCAGCGACCGCCTTGCGGTACGAGAAGCACGACCGCAAGAACAGACAGGTCTCAGACCACGAGAGGATGGAACTGGGCTTGAAAGGGGGCCCCGCGGGGGAGGGCGGCCTCACGTACAATCCGCGACGACGGAAGCTTCTCAAGGGCGAGCTGAACGAGCGGGATGAATACTACAGGCTCATGGCCAAAGACCTGGATAATTGGGAGCAGAAACGGGTGGAGCGGTGGAAGGACGAACCGGATGGGAGATTGCGATAGGGACATAGTCGCAGGGAAGGGAGGCACATGGTGCACCTCGTCTTGTCACTCCCTCATTCTTTGGCCATTTTCACGCAATTATTTTTATCTCTTCTCTGCGAACATGCGCGATGCAAAATTCCAAAGTTCTGGAACCATGCTTCAAGACCCCGCCAGCGAAGCAGCACATGCTCGAAGTAAACAGCTAGAACTCGCATCTTGTCCGAGTGATGTATCGCAATGGTCACGATACGCGATGGATACTTGAACCGGGGGCGAAGCGACCGAACTGGCGGTGAGCGAAGGTTCAGGCAGTGCATGGTCGCATCGCAAAGAGACGGCAGTGCATTGAACGGAAGAGCATCCCCGTGGGCTTAGGCTGCAAAGTACGAATTTCCCCATGGAGCTCCGGTGACACGCAACGTGTTCGAGAACGAGAATACAACATGTACCAGTACCAGTACTGTACCAAGTATGCACACAACCCACCGTCAGCGAAGGAGCTTGGTTCCCAGTGCATTCTCAAAAGGGAAAGAGGCAATTGGAGTTGGTCCGAACCAATACCATGACACCCCGAGTCACCTGAAGCAGGCTCGCTTAGATGCAGGCCGAGATGGGCGAGAAGCTTCTGGCCACCTCAGGCGCACGGGCTGCCTGCAGGTGAGACCAGACAGTGGAGAGGAATGAGAAATGACGGCATCTGTACACGTTACTTTTTGGTTGCAGGTATTGCTTTGGGGCCACGAGGACTCATCTTCGGCAGTGGCCGATCCTGTTATATGACGACCAACCGTGTCGAGCTGGATATTCCTCCTTTTGGATGTCCGGGGTTGCTCGGCCACGCTCGGTCTAGATTGAGGATTGTGGAAGGCCACTTTTGACAGGGTCTGGACCCTGAACCGAGTATAGACTGGCTATTCCGGACTTGTAGAAAGAATGTAAGGTAATGTCTGTACTTGTTAGAACTTTGTCCAAAGGCGCAACATGTGCACCTGTTGGTGTCATAAGGCAGAGAGACCCTTTCATTTTTGTTCGACCGGGCATCGGCCGATTCGCCGGGCGGGGGACATAAGAAGACCAGATACAGGGCAGCCTTTTCATTATAGTTTACGTTTTAGATTTCACCGGCTTGAATCACTAGGGGATTTTCTGGGCGGTGCATGCGACCCAGGGACCTGGATATTGTCCCCAAGCACGCGGGAAGTAAGAGTCATGCAGAGGGTGTTTCTTTCCTGACGAGTCATGGTTGAGAACAGAAGAGTAAGTCAGTCAACTTGTGGATCATGCCACCCGAATCCAACGGGTACGGATACTTGTACTTGTAGAGTATGTAAGAAAAGAGTCGCTGAGGAACATAAAAATCTACTCGGTACAAAGTGTTGCTCCCTCGTGGTAGCTTGGCTGAAGTCTGAAGGAATGACGTGTGGCGGCTGGATGGGATGGTCAGTCAGTCAGTCAGCCCTGTGAGTAATGAAAGAAAGAGATTCTTCACGATCAAAGCAAGCCGAGTTTAACAGGACAAACCACTTGATATTATTATTGTTATTCAACTTAATAATTAGCATGTAGTTACTTGGAGGTATTGAGCCATAATAGGCACGGAAGTGCAAAGATGCGGCGGTCTTGGTGATTTGATTTCCAATCAACGTGCCACTTCCTCCATCGCTCTTCTCTCTCTCCAACAAGGGTCCCCTTCCCTTTCATCGCACATTGACTTGTCCACATACTCCATCTTCGGAGGTTGATCCAAATCATCTGGTCCAATAATGCTCGAGTGCCCTTGGACTACTGTACACCTTTCTCCCACTTTGGAGCATGGACAAGTAAGCAACCCCCCTTTCCAAGTGACAACAATGTCGTGCTGGAGGGTTCCAGACCGTTTGCCCTCCATCATCATTAATCCTTTGTGACGGGTGGCCCGTTGTAGGACGTTGCGAGTCAGTCAGGGTTCATCTTGCGTCAACCCTTGTATTTTCCCTTTTTACCCCCCCAGAAGACCCTTGTTTTTGACTGAGGTTACTAGGTAGCTCTCGGAAACACACGGTGACCCTGTATCGACCATGTATCGATAAAGTGCCCATGGCTATTTCACAGAGCTTTTGGTCTTGGTGCCTCGGAATTAAGAAATGTCCACATTACGAGTTAACCTGATGCTGAGGCCTGGGCTGGGCGAAAAGCATAGACCACTGCTTGTACCACTACTCGGTACACCCAAGTTCATGGGCTTGGAATCTTGGCTGCAGGGTCTCAGGGTCTCAGCCCATCGGGGGATTCCCCCCTCAAGGCAAAAGGGCCACCACCCATAACCACCCGTTGTCGTTACTCCTCCCACCGACGTCATTGTTTCCCTGCGCCAATTTCCATCCGACAAAAACGACCCTTGGGGCTCTCTTTAATGCCTAGACTCACTGCCGCTATTGCTTGTGTTCCCCCCCCTTAGGCGAGCGTTTTGGTAGAAGTACTGCTGCTCCCCCTGACGATATCTTTATAGGCGAACACTACCACCCATTTTCTTCCACCCCCCGTTTAACCGGCCGATTCTCTCACCCTTTCATATCTCACCACTCAACCAACCCTAAAAAAAAAAGTTGCCGTTGAATCAGTGATTCATTTCCTCAACTCACTCAGCTGAGAAAAACAACAATATATCTCTTTTGTTTGCCTACTACATACACAATGTTTCCAAAATTCCACCTTACTGTCCGCCTTGTCGCGTGCACAGTCCAGATCACAATGACGTAGATCTTTGGGGGCAGATCTGCTTGTACTTGTACACACACTTACACATCCACCACAGCTACTCCCGTACGCTTCCTGCCTGCGCCTGACCATCCTCTACCCACTAAAATCCACACCCTCAGGACGCAGCGCCTCAACACCTTTCTCTTGTCCCTTCGAACCTTTCAAGCTCTTCGGGGGTCCTTTTCAACCTTGCCTACCCTCCCCCTCATCTTGTGGAGGGCTTCTTCCATTGACTTAATACCACGACCCTTGGTGGCCACCAAACTTGATGACCATCCACCACATCCCTTCGACTTCACCCGGTACCTCAGGCCAATTGGCCAACGTCACCATGTCCGCCACCGCGACGGCCTCTCTCAAATCTTCTTCCCATTCTCACTCTCACTCACAATCGCATTCACATTCCAAGTCGCACTCGCACTCGCACTCGCACTCTCGCTCCTCCCGCCCCTCGACCACTCCACGTACCCAACCTGCAGCCGCCTCGGTCGGTCAATCCATGCCACCTCTCCTCTCCCCAAACACCGCTCGATCCGCGCAACCACCCAAAGATGTCAAGAGCCCGAGTCCCAGTTACTTTGGATTCGTCGTGGGCAGCGATGATACAATACCGCCTGACTCCAACCCGGGCGCACATGCTCGCCAAAACTGGACCTACCCCAACTCGGCTGTTCCGAACAACGCCCCGACTCCCCGTCATATCCCGCTTGAATCCAATCCAGAATTTGAAGCCTTTAGAAGACAGTCGGAACATAACCACAGGTTTGCTTTGAACACGGCATTCAGACCTTCTCAGTCTAGGAACAACTCGACGAGTACTGCTTCCCGTGTTGACACCCCCTCCTCTCCGCACACAACACGGCCGTCGATAGACAGAAACTTCAAGTCATCCAATGGAGGATCAGCCGTGCAGCAGCAGGGCAGTCAGATGGAAGATGTCTCCTTCTTTGACATTCCACGACAACAATCACCAGGTCCCCTCAATTCCCACCATACCGTCGCCGACCACCAACACGCGCGACTGTCCTTACCCGATAATAGGATCCGTACACCTCCTCTCAAGGCGGCCACCCATGCTGCTCATCGCTCCGACACGCTACCGTCGGCGGGAGAAAAAGACGCTCCTCCCATCGTTTCCCCGTCCCAAATAGCCGAGATCCTCCAAAACCGCTCGGCGGATTGTTTGGTGCTGGACCTAAGAGTATATCAACAGTATGCCACGGCGAGGATAAAAGGAGCTCTAAACTTGTGTATCCCCACTACACTCCTGAAGCGGCCCGCTTATAACGTCCAAAGACTCGCCGAGACGTTCTCATCGACTCGAGACCAAGACACATTTGCGCGCTGGCCGAAATGTGCATTTATAATAGTCTATGACGCCAATTCCTCCTTGCCGAAGGAGGCCGTTACTCCATTAAACGTGCTCAAGAAATTTACATCAGAAGGCTGGTCTGGTACAGGGCTGGTGGTTAAGGGGGGGTTTTTGAAGTTCCAGAAACTGGCTCCGGAACTGGTTGATAATGGTCCTGTTCAATCGGGGAATGGGGCATCTACACAACCACTGTCCAGCTCGGCCCCGGGAAAGGATGCCCTACCGGTGGCCGGAGGCTGTGCGATGCCTTCTGAAAAATCAGCCGCCAATCCGTTCTTCGGAAATATTCGCCAGAACATGGACTTGCTGGACGGAGTTGGGCAGATGCCGATTAAAAAGCCTTCCGACATGACATCCGAAACGGAACGACATATGCCAGCGTGGTTAAAGAGAGCTGCTTCAAAATCAGACGATGGAAAGCTGGTGTCGGACCGGTTTCTCAATATCGAGAAGTCGGAGCAGCAACGCATGCAAGAGGCTCTGACAGCCAATGTGTCATATGGCACTCCACGGAGCGAAAAGCCACAAAGAATCCAGGTTGCCGGGATTGAAAAGGGCTCCAAGAACCGATACAACAATATCTTTCCCTTTGACCACACGCGAGTTCGGTTGCAGAATGTTCCCAGCGGGTGCTGTGACTATATCAATGCGAGCCATGTCAAGGCCGAGTTCTCCAACCGACGGTATATTGCGACTCAAGCGCCTATTCCGGCCACGTTCAATGATTTCTGGCGCGTTGTGTGGGAGCAGGATGTCCGTGTGATAGTCATGCTGACGGCGGAGGCGGAAGGAGGACAGGTCAAGAGTCATGTCTACTGGAAACCCGGCGAGTATGGTCCACTCAAATTGAAGCAGCTTTCGGAGCGTCAAGTGAGCTTGGAAACCAAGAAATTTGCCAATAAACTTGCACCCACCGCCAGGCCTTCGATGGCGCCCAGAAGATCCACGACGGCTAATGTCCCCGGGGAGAGAGGTCGAGACGAACCCAAATCGCCGACGACTAAAATCCCGACGGCCATGGTTCGCCATTTTTCCCTAAGTCATTCGGCGTTTCCCTTTCAGCCAATGCGTGAGATCACTCAGATTCACTATGCGGATTGGCCCGATTTCGGAGCGCCCGCCAGCCCTCTGGAGCTGCTTGGACTGGTCGAACAGGTCAACAAATTTGTCCGGGGAGCTGGGACTCCATCCAATATCGTGGGACCAGACGATGCGGCACCCGAAGGGCAACGGCCGATCTTGGTGCATTGCAGTGCAGGTTGTGGGCGAACGGGTACCTTCTGCACGATTGACTCTGTCATTGACATGTTGAAGAGACAGCGGCTCTGTCACGAGGCTGGGGGGGATAAAATGGATGTTGACGCGGGCGATTGGGTGAATCGGGACGATGTTGACTTGGTGGCGAAGACGGTGGATGACTTTCGACATCAGCGACTGAGCATGGTTCAGAATTTACGGCAGTTTGTCTTGTGTTACGAGAGCATATTACAGTGGCTTGTGATGCAAGAATCGGAGCAGCAGCAGCAGAAGCGACCGGGACTATCAGACCCAAGGAGGAGTTACCATGGATAAGATTTTTTTAGGGGGATAAAAAATAAACAAAAGCCATGGGAGATATGATGATGGAACGCCGAGCATGGGAAATGAAATGCATATTTGCCATGGTTGGCAAGCATGGGTGGCTGGCTTTTTCACCCAAGGATTTCCAGGTCAGCAGTGCATGGCCTTGGGAAGCATAGCAGGGGTGCCTCCACAGGTGGCTTTTTGACATTTGTGTGTTTGGGCCCATGATCGGGCATTGCATAGCGAAGCTGGTGTTGGGAAGAATAATAATATTATATACACTTGCATATCCGGTTTGGGGATATGATTAATGCAGCCACGAATCGACTCAACAATGACCATGAAAACAACGAGGGAGCGAGTTTTTGGCTGATTGATTACCTTGGCTTTTTTTTCCATGGAGGGGGGAATACACAACTAGACTTGGTTGTTTATTTTTGAGCTGATCATACATACCGACATGAGATTATGGGATAAGTACTTGGACAGACAGATTCGGCAGTACCAGCGGGAAGATGGAAGGAAGGAAGAAGGAAGCGGCTGTGATCGGATGCACCATGTAACCAGCAACCATGCAACATGTTTTGGGAGAATAGCAGCAGTTCATGGCAATAGCCAGTGCCACTACCACTTTGATTGCCGATATCGTCCATGAACCATCCATCCACATTTGCCGTTTGCTCGAAACAGCTGGAAGGATTTTCTGCAGAAAATTTGGTGGTGACCACGAGGGCAGCAGTTTGTGGACATGATCCGATCGTCCTGATCCAGATCCAGATCCATATCCAGGCATTTTGTTTAATCCTCTCTGTTTCATCTTTTTTTGGACGGAGAGGAAGGGAGGGGCATTCGCTTGATCGTTGCCAGGCACCATCTCAAGAAAGACAACGACCATGCTGACTTCTAGATTCTTCGCCAGTCTCTCACAAAAGTCTCTCGGCAAGTCGGCGAGCTCGTCATCGTCCGAATGGGGACCGTGGACACTCGTAGGTACTGTCAAAAGGAGACACCGAGACCAAAATGCTCACGGACAAAGGAACCAAGCAAATCCTTCCAAATCTCGACTCAGCAAGTGGTAATCTCCCAAAAATGGCATGTCCTTCAGGTCCCACGAGGCACCACGAGTCAAAAAAAGGGAGGATGTTGCTGCTCCGCCATTCGCCCCTTTGGACTGCGGTCGTTTTTTGGAGCTCGTTTACTGGTTCGAGTTACCAAGGTGTGTGGCTCGGTGGCTTGCTGAACCCACAGCCACGCTGATCATCCAGCAGCTGAGTCGGGTCTTATTGGATACAGGGCACCCACGGGACGCCACGCTGGACTAGATTTCGCCTTGGTCATTGCTTGTTCGGTGCTAGCCACGACTGTCAGCACTACTATTCGAACCACTTTCCCGCTGGCTTTGGTAGGCAACTGTTGCCCAAATCTCGCTCTGAAGCAGCAAGCTGGCGAAACCTCAGCGGGATGTCCTGCCATGATCAATACAAGATATCGCAGTCAGCCACTGTGAAAGCGGCCGCCTTGTCACGATATAACTCGACGAGCGCCTCGTCCGACCGACAGGAACCAAGACATGTGGCTTTCTGCCAGGTGTTCCACAAGAGCTGCCAGAATGAGACGGACACGTCGGGCGCCGTTGGCCCTTTGGATAAGCAGCCAAGACAGCTAAGAGATGGAGGGTTTGCTGGTCCTGGCTGGCCTGACAATGTGTTCCTTGTGCCTTGCTTCTCCTTCCCCGAGTGGGAGAGAGAGAGAGAGGAACAACAGGAAGAGAAGCATGATCATCCCGCCTTGGTGACTCGTCATTGCTCGAAAATAACAACACCAGGGGTAGCCCAGCCTGCTTGCCTACCCAGCTGGTCCAGCTGGGGGCAGCCACCTTCCATATGCAGTTGTGTCCGGAGTATCCAGCACGCAAAGACAGGACCACCCTCTGGTCCCACGACTTGGTGCCTCCAATCATTGTGCTAGATGTCCGAGAGGAGGTCGAGTCCCCGGGCCTTGGGAGAATACGAAGAAGAGGCTGGCAGTCCCATGCATCTTGCTTGGCTTATTATTACAGGGGACAGGGCCTGCACAGCAACTCCCTCAGCCACTACTCCAGACCGGGTAAGTTTTGCAGGTGGGAAGCAAATTGCTCGTTGATGCAGCTTAGGGCTGAAAAAAACCCAATTGCCATACCCTTGGTGCCCTTGGCTTTTTGATGATGCCCAAATAGCGTCTTTGTTATTATAAAGCGCCGCTTCCCTCCAGCCTGTATTCCCGGCCTGGGGTTTCGCCACACACATATATCCATTACATACACCACGCGTGCCCTCCCGTTGGCTGTTGTTGGTCATTCCGCAATCCTTTGTGCTGAGGTCAGGCATTTTAATATACTATAATCTTATCCCCCTCCCTCTAAGACCCGTCACACAAGCCCTCGTCTTTCCTTCTAATTAATTTTTCTTTCGTCCAAGTCAAGGCTGTCGTCCGTCCAAACACCGCACCACCACCATGTCGAACTATACGCCGCTGTACGTTGCCATGGCGGCCTTGATGATCGACGGGGTCATCGAGGTCGGGTTTGTTGGATCGATGGTTGGGTTTTTGCACGACCGGGCTGGCAAGTTTTTCACCATCGACGCCCCCAATGGCAGCTTCGACCTCCACGGCAAGCCCAAGGGTCTGCTCGTCAATCAAGGACATACAAGCAACGGCGCTGCGGGAACTGCCATTGTGCTGGTTGGATTTTTGGGGTTGCTCACCATTTGGTACGAGAAGCGACGAGCCAGAAGGGTACGATTTTGTATTTCTCTCAGAAAGAAAACCTGCTAACATGTCAATCCAGACACAAGCCATCAACCACTCTGGCATCTTCGTCTTTTGGGTCGTCATGACGGTGCTCTCGGCCCTTCTCACGCTTTCGGCACTGATCTATACCTTTGTGGTTACCAACCAGACCGACGACCAAACCATCAATCTCACAGTCGCCGCGGCCAACGCCGAGCCCAGCATGTACCCGCTGGACGACTGGACGCCGGAAAACTGGTTCGTGGCCGTGCTCGCCCTACCCCTCGCGCACGCCAGTGACCGTCGCGACATCCGCAACCACCTTCGTCTGATGAGAGGGTGGAGATGGAACCTTATCCCGCTGTTCATCCTGGGATTGACCGTGGCCGCCCTGGCCATTTGGGAGTTGGTTAGTGGACGGCGGTGGAGGCAGGGCGATTCCAAGGAGAAGCTCCGCAACTCGACGCAAAGCCAGAGCTATTGATCTCGCCGCGCCATCTCGCCGGGGGGTTGATTTGAAAGTTACACAACAGGAGAGGGAGAGAGCGCCGCTCGCCCTAAAAATTTGAACGGGAGAGGGTCTTTTTCTCCTCGCTCGCCATAAAGAACCGGATACCCCCCACCATTTATCCTTTTGATCCAGCTACTACACCGTGTATTCACGATTATTGTTATTTGTTACTATTTTCTTTTGTTCGTTTTTCAAGAATCATCATCGATCAAGCAAGCAAGCGCGCATGTTTTGGCATGGATGGAAAGGTGGAGGAAGGAGGAAATTACTACACATATATAGATTGACACACCTCGATTTGGGAGATTCGGAGAGGCAGGGAAGGAGGAAAAGGGTGAACAAGGGTGGAATTTTATAACTATATGGAGTGGGTTACACATCTCTGACGAGATTTCTTGACGACAAGACAACGATATTCACACTGACATTGACATTGACATGCACGCTCGTTTTGAATATCAACGACATCAACACCGACATCAATTAAACTGAGCATAATATATACCCATGTTTCTCAGGGTAGGAAGGTGGAGAGGGCAGTGTCAATTCTGAAGGTACAAAATAGAGGGTATGGGTATGGGTACTCGGTACGAGGTCGGACTGAAGGACGATAATATGCAGGTACTTACTCGCACGAAGTATTCTTTTATTATCGTGAGTATTACCATGAGTACCTATTCTATTCTTGCGATGAGAAAATCCTCCCTCTGTAACTCGGTACAAGAGTTCACTGCGTGAATTGCACGGCTTCCGCCGCCCTCTCTCCCCCCCTCGTCTTGTCGCGTCTCGTCTCGTCTCGTCTTCGTGCTGGTACTTGTACTTGTACTTGTACTTGTTCCTCAGACTTGTCCGATATACCGTCAACAGGCAGACTGGGTATCTCTACTCGGTAGAGAGTCTCGACTACTGGACCCCAACACGTGGCAATGGCAAAAGCAAAAGGCAAAAGGCAAGAGGCAAAAGGCAAATACCAAGATGGAAACCAAAAATATCTTCCTTAGTCATCCCACGAGTACTTAACAGTACTTATTGTACGGAGTGCGAGCACGGAGTATGTACTCGGTACCTAGTAGTACTACGGAGAAGGGTTCGATCTCTGATCTCTGATCTACTTTTGTATGTACCGAGGACTTCGTACCGAGTCCCCGTGGCCCTTGCCCTTGCTTTGTCCTTCGGGGGCCGTTTTCCTTTCTTTTCTGTTAGGGGTTCCCTTGATTGTTATTGTCCGAATTCTGTCAGTCTTGGACGCTGGAATTGGCTTTGAAGGGGCACAGAGTCTACTAGTACCGAGTACCGAGTACCAAGTAATCAAGAACCTGACAGGTCGGGTTACGTCGCACGGGCATCGTATCGCATCGTGTCATTCGTGTTGTTGGTCACGAGGAATAGACATTTTATGATATAATATACGAGATACTCGGTTCTCGTGCGAGTGCGAGTGACTTGTTCGTATTGAGCTTGAATCCGAGTACGATGTTTTCATCGCCCCTCTACCTCGTAGGGCGTGTGACTCGCACATGGTTGTGGCAAGGAAAGAGTGGCGCAGTTCATTGTTCCTCCAGGGTGGCTGGTACCGTGGCTTTCCATCAAGGGTATCTTCTGACAGGCAAAATACCGTCACACTCGTAGGTACTCGGTCCTTGCTTATTCTCCGGGGACTCTTGGGGGTGGATCGAGTTGAAGTGATCGATTTCACTTCTTGGTCTCTATATCTCGTTGTCAACATCACATGAATATCGTCCAATCCCGAGAACCCCATGCATGCTGAAAATGAACAGTTGTGAGACTACTCAATGTGTTTGCTGTCCATGGTCTATCGACCTCGCCCACCTCGTCTATCGTAAACAGAAAACACACCTCAGCCTCGTCCCCCCCCCCCTTTTCCTCCGCCTTGGCAAACCCGACACCGTAACCGGGGGTCTCTCGGGATCTCATCCCCGACCCAGAAACCAACAATGGCGTTATCCTAAAGAACGACCCGGGAGACCGGTCACCAGTCATTGGCGGCGGCTAGACTTCAGTTCTTCATCGCCAAAGGACCCTTGTCGTCGAGGATTGGGCTTGTGTGCATTCTGACCTGATAGACGGCGAAATCTGTCTTTGTACCGTGGAAGATATCAGACACTATCGATCCCGGGCAAGAATCTCCAAGATGACCCCAGACGCCATAGAGACGAGACTATTCATCAACAACGAAGTATGTCTTCCAGGTGGTTTTACCTCTTGAACACCACTCTGACTAGATGGGTTAGTTCGTCCAAGGCAAGCAGGGAAAGACATTCAAAGTCTACAATCCCTACAACGACCAAGAGATATGTCATGTCCATGAAGCCACCAAGGAGGACGTCGATCTCGCGGTCGACGCCGCCGAGGCTGCATTTCCCCAATGGAGCAGCATTGCCGCCCATGAGCGGGCAGCCTACATGTTCAAGTTTGCCCAGCTCGTGCAGAGAGACGCCCCCCAGCTGGCCGAGTTGGACTCGATGTGCATGGGCAAGTAAGCAGCGCCGTCTCCTTCCAGCTTTGACAGGTTGAAGCTTGGGGGTTTTCTTTGCCAGTGCAGTCAGGATAACTAACTTACATTACTCCCCCAAAGGCCCGTTGAACTTCTCAAGAAAATGGACATCCCGGCTTGTGTGGGCGTCTTCAACTATTTTGCCGGCAGCGGATACCATATACTGGGAGAATCGAGCCTCTCCTCCCCAAACTTTCTCAACGTCAGTGTGCGGCAGCCTTATGGTGTGGTCGGTCTGATTATTCCATGGAATGTGAGTTCTTTTGTCCTCGGTGGTTATCACTACAGTTGTTTTCGTATTTGTTGACTGACAATTAATGGAGGTCCCGATGATCATGTTCGCCTTCAAGGTCGCCCCGGCCCTGATCTGCGGCAACACGGTCGTACTCAAATCGTCGGAAAAGGCACCGCTGAGCTCCATCAAACTGGCCTCGCTGATCAAGGAGGCCGGGTTTCCGCCCGGCGTGGTCAACGTGGTCAGCGGGTTTGGCGACCCGACGGGCTCGGCCATCGGCCTGCACATGAAGATCCGCAAGATCTCGTTCACGGGGTCCGTGGCCACGGGCCGCAAGATCCTCAAGATGGCGGCCGACTCGAACCTCAAGAACGTCTCGTTGGAGCTGGGCGGCAAATCGCCCGCCATCATTTTTGAGGATGCCGACCTCGAGGCCGCGGCGCGGTACACGCACTACAGCATCAACCACAACAGCGGCCAGCACTGCCAGGCCAACAGCCGCGTGCTGGTGCAGGAGTCCATCGCCGACGCGTACATCGACATGGTCAAGAAGCTGATGGCCAAAGTCACCCTAGGCGACCCAGCCGACCCGAGCACGTTCCAAGGCCCGCAGGTCGACCAGAAGCAGCTGGCCCACATCCAGCGGCTGGTCGACCAAGGGAGTAAAGACGGCACGCTGGTGTGCGGCGGCAAGCGACACGGCACGACGGGCGCCTTTATCGAGCCGACCATTCTGAAAAACGTCCCGCTCGACTCGGCCGCCTACACGGAGGAGATCTTTGGGCCCGTGGTGATTGTGAATACCTTCAAGGATGAGAAGGAGGTGCTTGCCGAGGCCAACTGTACCGACTTTGGGTTGTTTTGTGAGTATACCTTTTATCTCCATTCCGACTTGAATTACTTCCTTCCTTTCCTTTCCTCTCCTGTCCTCGCTCCCTGTCCCTGCTGCTATACATCTCCACAAAGCCAAAGATACACAGTATACAGAATTGTATAAACTGACCCCTCGGCCCCGGTGCCCAATCGTCCACAGCATCCGTGTACACGCAAAACTTTGACCGGGCCGTCCGCGTGGCCAAGGCGCTCGAGGCCGGCGCCGTCGGCATCAACTGCTCGGTGCCCGTGCGCGCCGTCGACATGCCCATCGGCGGCTGGAAGCAGTCCGGTATGGGCAAGGAGCTGTCCCTGCACGGCCTCAACACCTACACCGAGCTCAAGACCATCTTTATGAAGTACAACGCCGACCCAACGGCCATGGCAGTGGGGACGTGGCATTCGGGACAGCGTGTGGATGGGATTCAATAGGGACAATTCATCATAGGCTTTGCTGGGTGAGGAGGTGGATGATGGAAGAGAAGATAGGGGTGGAGGGTTGTGGATGATATACTTGTCTGTTCCGCTCAAGGACACCTAGATAGGGGTCGATGGAGTCTAGAATCCAGCGGCTACATCGAAATCCAAGTCTATCAATCTTTGCCGACTTCTACTCCTTCTCTCCCGCTCTCCCTGTCCATCTATCTCTATCTCCCTATTTAAGTCTCCTCTTTTCCTCTCCCTCTCTTCCCTCCCATCTCCCTGTTCACCTCTCCCATTTTCCTTCCCTTTATTTAGAACCCCTCAAATCCGCCACCAACTTCCCCATGACGTCCCCGCGCTTGATCCTGTCCAAGGCGCCGTTGATGTCGCCCAACTCCACGACCTCGAGCTCCGGCACGACCTTGCCGGCCGCGAACAGCGCCAGGGCCTCTTTCATGTCGGTCTTGGTGCCCGTCTGGTTCGAGCGGACGAGCAGGTCCTTTTTCAGCAGGGGGCGAAGGGACATGCTTTTTATTTTGCCCCAGGGTTAGAGATGCGGGACGAAACCCCGCCCGGGGGGGAAGGGGGGGTGTGGGGGGGGGGGGTTTTGAATCTCGAACTTACTGCAGATTTCCGATCCCAATGGCCATGATCTGTGCGCCGAATCTGGCGTATTCTCCCGCGGCACTGGGTCACACACACACACACACGCGTCAGCTGGGACCTGTCTCCCTTTTCCTTGGCCACGAAAAAGGAGAGTTTTTTCGTCATGTGTAATGTGTAAGATTATATAACACTGGGCAAAAAAATGCTAGCAGAGACAAAAAAAAAAGGGGGGGGGACAGGAAAACGTACTCGTACGACGACTGATGCGGACTCAGCACGAGAATGTAATCCGCCCCACCGCCCGTCCTGTCGACGACCGTCTCGACGAGCCCCGGCGCCGTGAAATCGACAAAGACGTCGGCGCCCATTTTGGCGCAGAACCGCTGCTTCTCGGGCGCGCCGCCGTCAATGGCCAGCACCTTCAACCCCATGGCCCGCGCGTACTGGATGGCCAGGTGGCCCAGGCCGCCGGCCCCGCCGACCACGACGCACCATTTGCCCGGTTGGGGGTCCATGCGCCGCAGCGCCGCGTAGGCGGTGACTCCGGCGCACAGGATCGGGCAGACACTGGGTGACGAGACGCCAGACGGGACGGGCACGAGCTGGGAGGTCGGAAAGGAGATGTATCCTGATCAAGAAGGAGTGAGTTTGAGTTTCAAGGTGTCAGTTCGCACTGTAGCCAGGAGAAACTTGAACTCAACCAAGGGGAAAGGAAAATCACATACGTTGAAAGGTACCGTCGACGTGCGCCCCCGTGATCTTCTGGTTGAAACAGTGATTCTCCGACCCGGCCTGGCAAGCCTGACACGTCCCGCAGACGTTGCTCCTCCAGGCGATGCCCACGACGTCGCCGACCTTGAACCCGTCCAGACCCTCCGTGCCCATGGCGACTATCCTCCCCACGCCCTCGTGGCCGCCCGTCAGCGGTCGCACGGGGTCTTTGGGCGCAGGGCCACCTCCGTCCCGGGCGTAGACGTCACCGTGACACACGCCGCTGTACTCCAGCTCCACGAGGGCGTCATGAGGACGCGGCACCGGGATCGGGACGTCTTTGATCGTGTACGGCTCTCCATACGCGCCGGTCAGAACGGCCGCTGGGGCAGTTTGGGGGAGGTCAACGCCCATCGAACCCATCCTTCTTCCCGCGCCTTGGATCGAGGGGTTCGGCCCTGTGGAGGGATGAGGTATGGTGGGTGTGTATGTAGTGACTAGCCGTCAGTGGAATTGTTCACACGTGATATGGGTGGTTGATAGAAGAGGTGCGCGGAATGATATATTGACGTTTTGTTAAATTGACATTGTGTTACAGACGCGGCCAATACTTCTTGGGGCCGTGAGAGAACACAAGCCTGGTCGTTTCTTTTCCCGACTATCCACACCGTGTGACTGTCTTCTCCTCCCGTTTGGAAGGTGTGCTCCTCGCGAGCCTCATAAGCGGTCCATGTTTGGTATCTGAACTCGAGCTGCCGAAATACCCGGTGACTCCCCGGCCAGCGGAAGTGACCCGCCGCCCTTTTTTTTTTTGGTTCTTCGGGCTCAACTCTGTCCGCCGCAGAATGTGACAAAACATACGAGATGTAAATTTCTGCAGATGCCTTTTGTGCCGATTTCTTCGTGACATTCTCTGTGAATGTTACCCGAGATCCAGCTGTAAAAAAAGATGATGTTGAAAACAAGGTTTGAACAAGAGAATTTCTAGTGTTGGCGGGTAACACAAACAGGCAGAGAACACACTTGATTCATTTCTGGACGTTGAAGCATCGAGCGACGATTTTCTCCTACCGTTGGCAAGCTGTTCATGAGCTGGGTTCATTGTCAGGACAAGTTGTCGAGAGGTCGTAGAGGTATGTTATGGATGATCCCTCTTAAATCGGCTGTCTTAGCGAGGCTAGACAAAAAATAGGGGCTACATTTCTGTGATTTCCAGATCGATCTTTTTGTCCAGACACCTTCAAGTTGTTGTCAAGAGAGCATGGGTACATCGAACCTCTTCCCGCGAGCCTCATAGACCTGTGCAGAGAGATACTCCACCAGCACACAAATTCAACAATTGGCACGAGCTCTTACCACTGCCACGTCAACAGGTATGCGAAAGGAAGTTCTTGCTACTCATGCACCGTGTAATGCGCCGCGATCCAGGGACTCTCAGGGATGGGAAGAATGTCTCTCCAATACTCGAAGAGGGCATGCAAGCGCTAAGGCTGGGGATCTGATCAAGTGGCGTGGCTACCAGCCTCGTAGCCTTGCCTGTGGATACACGTAAGTACAATTATGGCACCAGCGTGAGTCTAGCGAACCTAAACCCCCAGAGACCAATCAGATGATGCCATTAAATTTTAGGCATCAATCACCCCAAGACTTTATTCTATCACTGGCAGTCGTGCCAGTTCGAGCTGGGTCCAGGCGTGGGTGGGTGTGATCTTCCTCTTCAACTCTTGTCGTCTGACCCTGTAAACTTCTTTGTGACCGTCGCTCTCAGGTCCTCAGAGAGCCGTCGCTCCATCTAACTCTACGTCTGCACAAACATTCTTGGCTCCCCGAGGGCGGTGTAAACTCCAAGACAGTTTCTGTTTGATCTTTCAAGACTTCAAAGCGGCGGTTACAAAGCGCTTCATGTAATGCGGCAGACGTAGTCGAGGACAAGCCGTCGATCTACATTGATCGAGAGAGTTTCAAATCCGCCTATATACCTATCATCTTCCTACCAAATGCGATGTGAGCGAGGGGAAAGGCCTAGCAAGGATGCCAGACCAACCACTCATCTCGCGGCACAAGGCAACGGCAACGGCAACGGCAACGGCAACGGCAACCCTCGGTTCCGTCCCTTCGGAAATCCTGCAGCAGATATTCTATTTCAGCACCACCCCGACCTTCTTCCAGCTGATCCACGTCAACCTGAGATTCTTCTCACTGGCGTCGCAAAGTCGGGAAGTCATCCTCTACCATCTCCGCCACGTCCCCGGCCTGAAGCTAGGGTTGGAGAACCGGTCGATCCCGACCAGTGAGCTCTTCCTCATCTTCCGTCAACGCGCCACTTCACATCTCTATGGAGTCAATTTCACCGCCGACTGTCGGAGCTGGGACCTTCCCAAACATACGTTGGGCACCATCGATGCGCGTGCATCGTGCCTCGGCGTCGAGAGTGAGTGGGGGAACAACGTGTGTCTGGTCGTGAAGAACAGCCTCCGACTCCGACTGAACTGGCACAACGAGTTACCCGGTGAGAGCCTCGAGTCGCCGTACGCAGATGGGAGTGCGAAAATCATCCAAGCCGTCCAGAAGAGCCACTACATCAGTGTGTTGTACGCTTGGACACCACCGAAAGAGGATCCCGCCAACGACACGTCCCACCCCGAGACGACGACGGTCAAGCCATCTGTGAAAGAGACTCTTGACAGCCACACGGCCAAGCATCGATGTCCTCGGTCTGATCGAACTCCCTCGTTGCAGGAGAGGAATCACCCCAAAGCCTCGTCTTCCTCCTCTCGTGTACACTACCATCTCCTCCACTATGACATGTTCCGGAGTGATCGGCCCGTCTTCTTCCCCATACCGACCCACAAGTCGATCAACGACAATGTTCTGGTCCCCGTCCACCTGGCGGTCAACAACCGGCTGCAGTGCGCCATTCTGTGGGATCTCCCAGATACGTTGACCCCGACGTCAGATGCCACGGTCTGCTTCTACACGGCCGACCGCCTCCCGCGCTACGAGCCGGGCGAATACAGCGTCTGGGTTCTCTACCCCTATGACCGACTCAGCCCGATCTACCCGTCCCGGTCAGGCGAGCGGGTCGGCCTTGCCCGGGAGACTGCAGACGACGACGCCGACGGCAGCGGAATCACCTACACGGTCACCTCGGTGCGCGAAAAGTTCAACGGCACCGGCCGCCACCCCAGCGGGCAGGATCTCCGCCTGTTGCATTTCCCCCTGCGACCGCGCGCCATTGCATTCTTCAAAGACGGCCGCCGCCTGTCCCTCTACGCCCCCGGGTCGACCGTGCCGTTCACGACGCTGCTGGCCAACGAATCCGTCCGCAGCCGCGTCTACAGCCCCTCCGTGACCCCCCTTCTCTCTCCGCCGCCCGACGACGCGTTCAAGATGCTGCGCAGACGCGTCCGGCGGGCCACCCACACGGCCATCGACGGCAACCACTTTTCGCTGGGTCTACCGTTCTTCAGCACCCACGAGACGACCACGTTCCCGCCACCGACGACGACCGCGGATTCGGACCTCGTCGCGCCGCCCGACGTCGAGTGCGTCAGCCACATCCTCTGCGTGGGCACGGCCAAGCTCCCGACAATCCACATTCACACGTGCGGTGGTCTCGTCACCGAGACGGGCCCGCAGGTCCTCACGATCGTGCAGATCCGCGAGCGCGTCCTCTACGATCTCTGCTCCCACTCGAGGTTCAACGACGACCTGCCCGCCCTGCCCCGCCCGCCGCGCCCGTCCCGGAGGAGACGACACTCAAACGTCGTCCACGTCCAACCCCACGACAATCCCCACCCGGACGTCGTCATGGCCTCGGACGGCAACGGAGTGGAAGAAGACGATGACGACGACGACGACGACGATGACGATGACGATGACAACGATAATAACGATGACACGGACAACAACTCCGAGGCCGACGCTGATGAGCCCGACTTGGACACAGACGCTGACGACACGGACGCCGATACCTTGCACGGCACAGACCTGCGCGTCGCCGCCAGATTGTGGGGGTGGGCTCCCCAACGCACCACGCTGACGGGGCTGGACACCATAAGCATATCGCCCAGAGGGGAGCGCATCGCCGTCGCACAGTGGGATCGCGTGCTGGTGTATGCCTTGAACCCGCGGGCGCTGTGCGAGGAGGCGTGGGACGAGGACAGCGATAGCGACGGCGCCGGCAGCACAGGCACCAGCAGCAGCGAGAGCAGCAGCGACAGCGAGCACGAGGACAACGACGCAAACGTCTTGAATACGGCGGAAAACGTGGCCGGTGGCGATCACAATCCCAACCCTCAAAGTGACGACAACAACCACAATGATGAACCTATTCCGGCGTCTTCGGCTCCGACAATCCCACCAAAGGCACCCGGATCCGTCGCCTCGAGCACGTCCACCTCGCTCTCGCTCGCGGACTTAGTGAGCTTCTACCCGCACGTGAAGAGCCGCTGGCCTCTTGAACGCACTATTGAGCTCCGACCGCTCGTGTTGAAGATGGACGGTGGAGCCGTGGTACGGAAGATGTGCTGGTCGTTGGGAAAGCCACACCGGGTCGACGAAGAGGCGGCCAGCGATGTGGGAGACGTCTACGCAACAGGACAAGATGCGCAGGGGTTAGCGAATGAGACGAGAGGTGTGGAAAAGGAAAAGGAAAAAGAGAAGGACAAGGACAAGGAAAAAGGAAAGGAGAACGATAATGAGAATGTAGCAAGCAACAACACGGCCTCGCTGACTCCACAGCAGGAAATTGCAGAAGGTGAGAGATCCGACAATTCGGGAACGTCAGTAGCTATTGGAAGTTTTCGTCCACACGATCGACCGCAACCCTCTGGATTACCACAGTACCACGACCAATCGTCACCGATATCAGATTTACAGACTCCCACCTGCTCCGAGATTACGTCTACCCAAATCCAGGAGGCAATGATAGCTGTCTCGTATGAAATACCCCCAGCACCATTTTCGCAGTCCAAGTTGATCGGACAGATCAAACATATTGCTCGTCCTCCCGACTACCCCGGCATCACAAGCACGATAGTCCTTGAATCTCCTGAGCCGAAAGCTGCAGGTTCAGCAGAGGTAGACCAAGCCAAAGGCAAGGAAATTGAGGTAATGGAAGCTTCAGCTGGAGGGAGAAGAGACGAGCCCCCACCAAAAACAGACCAGGAACGTGGTGTGTCGACCGCTCCAGAGTTGTCTCACACAAGGGAATCGGAGCCGCGGCGCAAGAGGAGTCCACGGAGGAGGGTTGCCGAGAATGAATTGATCGTCCTGACTGACAGAGGCTTACAAGTTTGGGATCTCAGTGTCTGGGGAAGAGGTAGGCGAGTGTACTGCGAGCTTCCAGATGATATTCTGCATTAGCTGCGACGGCAGATTTTGGAGTTCATTGGATGCATACGGTGTGTTTCTGATCGGAAGGTTGACTGGCGAATGGGTTTGCCTGGTGAGTCTGGAATAATTGGTATAGGCATGTCTTTTCGTGTACAGCACTGGCGGACGATCATAAGTTGACATATCTGGGCCTCTTGTCCATTGCCAAGATGCCGGTTTGGGGGGTTCGGATTGGTCTTGTAGTACTCCTGGTTAGTGAACAACAAGAGCTTGTTGGACATTCGTCGGTATTCGAAGTCAGAGATCCATGATTGCAGAGGTCGAAGATATTGGCTTCGGGGTTTTATTTATCTCCTCCTCCACCGTCACCCATCATAAGCATAGTAGCGATCAAAAACACCCACCAGTACTTCTGGAAGAAGCTCTTCTCTTGTTGTTCTTCCTGCACAATCTCTCTGCCTTCAGCATCAACCTGAGGTGGTTTCCGAGTTGCGAGGTCAGGTGAGGGGCCAGCGCCGGAGGTGATAAGGCTGACTTTGATGGGCTCATGAAGAGCTGCTGCTTTGGCTGCTTCTTCTCTTGCTTTCTTTGTGTTTGGCACCGGAGGCGGAGGTGGTATGGGCCTTCCCTTAGCCTTAGCTCTTTCAACTTTCTTCTGATACCGTTCTTCTTCCGCGGTCAACGGGGGTGGTGAAAGGCCCGAGACCGAGGCAGAGAGAACTGATCCGTCGTCTGGAGATATCCAGAGATCGATTTTCTGGTGGACATCCTTGCCGAATGTATCAAGGGTTGTTACAGTAGAACTACCATTAGGCAAAACAATCCGAAGCAGCTTCGACGAGGTGGGTTCGGGGGTGGTCGATTGGAGTGACTCGAGAGATGGAGGTGTCCATGAAGACAAAGCGTGCTTAGAAGTCTTCGGATCATAAAATATAGTAACAAGCGGTTTGACTGAGGGAGATCCGATCAATTCGTACGACAAAGTAACCGACTTGGGTAGTTGAGAGGCTGCGGCATCGCTCGCCGCCAGGACAGTGCAGGTGCAAACGGCCAGCAGCACCAGCAGGAAACTGCGACAGGTCATCTTTGGCAGTCACAACGCACCGAAAGAAAAAAAAAACCACTTTATGATGGTGACAGCAAACAACTTGTATCTTCCCTTCAAACATTCAGCTCTTCAGTTCACTCCACGCTTAGTCCTGACCATCACCAACCCGCACCCATCGCCGCCTTTTGTTGTAAAGGGCAACTAACCCGAATACGAGGTGGCGCGAGGCAGTAGAAATCCACCACGACATTTACAGATTCTTCTCCTGTTTGCTCTCCAGTGAGTCAAGATGTAGTCGCCATGGACCTCCTCCAGGACCTCTCCGGGCCCGGAGGCTCTGATTTTTACCCCTTCACTGACACGGGCCTCCTAGACCTTTCAGACTCTGACGAGATGACAACCAGCAACAGCAAGCCCGAGGCCAAAAGTGACAAGGACAGACTTGATGCTGAAGTTCTCAAAAACCTCGAGCTCCACCAGGGATTCATGCGTCAAGCCATCGATGTTGCCGAAGAAGCACTCCGCGGAGGCGAAACTCCTGTTGCATGTGTTCTGGTTCATGAGGGCGAAGTCGTTGCTCGAGGCATGAATGACACCAACCGATCTCTCAACGGCACTCGCCACGCCGAATTCCTCGCCATTGCACAATTTCTCTCCAAGATGCCAGCCCGAAAACTCAAGGAGACGGATCTCTACGTGACGGTTGAACCATGCATCATGTGCGCTTCAGCCCTGAGGCAGTACGGCATTCGCTGTGTCTACTTTGGGTGTGGCAATGATCGATTTGGTGGGAACGGGAGTGTGCTGCCGGTTCATTCTGATAAAGGTCTGGAGGAGGGCTATCCAAGCTATGGAGGGATATTCAGAAAAGAAGCCATCATGTTGCTCCGACGATTCTACATCCAGGAAAACGAGAACGCGCCGAATCCCCGCGCCAAAGGCAACCGAGAATTGAAGCCTGTTGTCTGAACGGAGAAGGCATGGTCATCAAGATACTTGTCCCCGCAAGAAGACGATATTGTCTGCTGCGTGACGGTGTTTGAAGGAAGGAACAACAGCTGAGCAAGCAGGAGGTCAGATTGATTCCACGGTCGAAGACAACCGAAGCTGGCTCCAATTTGTATCATATTATCTGGCTGGAGGGCATGTCTACGGGCCTGTAAGGGTGGCTCGCAGAAGAGTCCTTCGCCATTACTTGTAGGAACATGTTCTGTGTGCGAACGTGAGACAACCGCTCACAAATAATGTTTTAACCATTTTCACTCTGTATTCATCATGACTGTACTCGGCACAAGTAGTGAATCCATTGTAGAGTCAGGAGATGTTAGGCGGCGGACTCGAGGCACTCGTGTTGCTTAGTCACGCGGAATTTCGGGTTGTGCGGCTGCGCTCGTGTCACGTCCAATTGGCAACCATAACAATCGATGCGCTAACAACTTTTTTTCTGGTACCAGCACACCTACTCGCCTCAACCGAATTACCCTCAGACTACCTCGTACCTTTGACCGTATTCACTCCCTTTTCTTCCAGGGCTCTTTTCTTTGCTTGGAAATCTCTTCTCTTGCGAGCACCTCTCGTCATTCTATCAGTTTGTACCGAGCAACTCATCGCCCCTCTTTGTATTCGTCTAACCGTCCGAGTCCCCTGCGTCGCGTCACCGACGAGATCAAACATGTCTGGCACTCGAGCCCGCAAGCTATCCCACCCGAGGAAAGTAACAACCGAGTTAGCGCCACTTCCCAAGAAGAAGGCGAAACCCCAACTTTCTACCTCGAGCAAGAAAACCACCGCCCGCGCCAGGAAATCCCCTGAAGCTGTTTTATTAGTCTCAGACGCTCCTGCAAAAAAGACAAGCAAGCGGAAGGCGGAGCCGGAGGTCGAAGATGAAGATCAGACCAAGGATTCCAAGAGAGTGCGACTGCTTCCTGATGACGAACCCACACCGCCCAAGCCAAAAGCTGCTCCTTCAGCAAAACCGACTGGAACCAAAAAGCCCAAGATAACCAAGGCAGAGATCAACCAGCCGCCTACTGAAAAACTCAATGTATATGTGTTTGGAGAAGGCTCTTCTGGAGAACTTGGTCTCGGGAGTGCCAAAGGTCAGACGGAAGTGAAGAGACCGCGATACAATCCCAACCTCAGCCCGGATAATGTGGGAGTGGTGGCGTTGTCGGTTGGCGGGATGCACACTGCGGCTTTGACCCACGACAACAAGATTCTGACCTGGGGTGTCAATGACCAGGGTGCACTAGGTCGAGACACTGCTTGGGATGGTGGTCTTCGCGATATTGATGACGAGGATGCCAGTGATTCCGACTCGGATAGCGGTTCGGAAACAGCCGTGAACCCAAAGGAATCTACACCCGGGGAAGTGGACCTCTCGGGTATTCCTGAAGACGTCGTCTTCAGCCAAGTCGCCTGTACTGACAGTGCCACTTTTGCTCTCACAACTCAGGGAGATGTGTACGGATGGGGCACATTTCGCTCCAATGAAGGCATTTTTGGCTTTGATCCTACCACACTGATACAGCTCCGGCCGAAGCTGATCAAAGGGCTCAGCAAGATTACCCAGCTTGCAGCTGGTGCCAATCACGTCCTTGCCTTGCAGAGCAATGGCGCTGTCTATTGCTGGGGCTCAGGGCAACAGAACCAATTAGGTCGCCGGATTTTGGAGCGGAGAGCGACGAACAGTCTGATTCCGACGGCCATCGGTACACTCAAGAAAATCGAGTACGTCGGGGCAGGAGCATACAATTCGTTTGCCGTGAAGGCGAATGGCGACGTCTATTCTTGGGGTTTGAACAACTTTGGGCAGACGGGCATTCCCAAAGAATTCGACGAGAGTGGCAACACCAAAGGGAACGACGTGCACATGCCTATTGTTGTTGAGACGCTTCGCGGCAAGTTTGGCAAAGTGACATGTATTCAGGGAGGGTCCCACCACACTGTCGCTGTCACGGACAAACGCGAACTTCTGGTCTGGGGACGAATTGACGGCAATCAGTCGGGGTTGAATGTCAAAGAGCTTCCAGAAGATGACGTTGTGCGCGATTCGGCTGGCCACCCACGAATTTTGGTTGTTCCCACCCAAATCCCCAAGATTGAGGCTCTCATGGCCGCGGCTGGTTCTGATCACTGCATCGCTATTGACAAGCATGGCAAGGCGTACTCATGGGGTTTCAGTACCACCTACCAGACGGGACAGGGCACTTCGGACGACGTGGAACTGGCCACTCTGATTGACAACACAGCCGTCAGAGACAAGAAATTGGTCTGGGCTGGTGCAGGTGGTCAATTCAGCGTCATTGCAGGTGTTCCCATTCCTTTGGTCAATGGGGTCAATGGGGTCAACGGGCATGCGGCTTGATTTTAGGGAGGAACTGGCTCTGACAGCATGCTGGGGCTAAGCTGAGGCCATTCACAAAGCTTTCAGTCTACTCCAACATGCCTTGGGCAAAAAGTCTTATGGTATACAGTTTCTCGTCGGGGCCAAACACAAAACCTCTGACAAAAATTGCTTGGGGAATCTTTTCGGACTGCATCAAGAGGATTCTGTGCTGTGTATCAACAGTAATAATTCAGACCCAGTGGTGGTTGAAAGGGTCAAAGTGAGATGCATGAGAATGTCTTTTTTTCCGCCACAGAGCGAATGATTTGGTCTGGTTGGAGAGGCTCAGATCAGGTCTTACAAGCACAGGGATGATGTGGATGGGTTTATTGGGTTTGCTGGGTTCATTGATGGGCAAATTGGTTTCGTATTGTACTTTTATGGATGCACAAATGCTGATTGGGGTCTCAGCATCTTCCAACGCTCAAGGCTCAAAGCTGTTTTGGTGGGGGAGGGATGGGTGGATGGATGGATGGACAGTCGATGACACGATAGATAGCAAAGCATGCGATGCCTTCCCTTTCCCACTTTGAATCTCACGCACTTCTATCTCTTTCTGTTTTTGAATCACCCCTTCTCTACCTACGAGTAGATGCTCCTCTTTTTCCCAGCAAGCCAGGCATGGGTCAGGTTTCCCTCGACAATGTATGTACGTCGTCGGATCAAAGCCCGAGTCAGCCAATCAACCAACCAACCACTTCGAGTCTCCAATCCAAGCATTGACCGATGGACAGACACACAGACCTCAACGTTTCAACAAGGTATGTGTTTGCGGAAGTGAGCTGCCCCTCGCGTTCATCAACCGGTCGAGTCCTTGAAAAGGCTGAAAACGCTTCTTCCATAGTTGCCTTCCTTCGTGTGCCCCCAACTTGGCGACGATCTCTAACTGCATTTGAAGACCCATTGATTGGCAACCGTGCGAATGTTGGTGAAGATTCATAGAAAGGCTCAAATCACGTTACACGTCCATCCAACAATGCCACGATATCGCCGCACTTTCTGCCTGCGCCCACGATTCTCAATGACTGCAATTACGCTTCCTGGAAAATGAATGCGCAACCGTTTCGCGAGGAAGATCACAATCAAAATGAATGCAATAGATTCAATAAGAACGTCTTCACTTATCACGTCGGACCCTCGAAGATACCTTTCGTTGTCCATGCAGATATTGTTTCTTCACATTCCAGAGTATTTCGCCAACTCGTAGAAGGGCCGTTCAAAGAGGGTGAGGAAAGATACGCAGAGCTTCCAGAAGTCGATCCAGGAACCTTCGAGCATTTCCTTGCGTACGCCTACCTCTCGTCGAACGACACGCCAGGAAACGAAACAAGCACGCACATTCCATCGACAAAACGAACGTCAACAAGCAGGCTTATCGAACTTCTACTGGCGAAAGAGCATAAGAAGTTCAGTTGCAAGAGTTGTCGCAGAACATCGGAGCTGAAATTCTCCCTCACATTCCCGCAATGTGGCGAATGCAAGGAGGACGAGCTTCAAAGCCTGCAGTGGGAAGCTCACTGCATTGTATCTGGTTGCTCGAAAAAGGGTGAATACGTACAGGGCCTTTTTTGCGCTGTATGCCTGCAAGACTTGAAAGTTTTCTCCGCCTGGACCACACAACTTGCAGAAGGTGGTGCAGAAAAACTAC